GTCGCTACTCTGCTACTTGCCACGTGTAGCAGAAGTGCTGGTTTCCTCACCACTAGGCTGTGAGCAAGTGGAGACCGGGCAACTATATCCTCTTAGAAAGGTTTCCACAAGTGTTTGTTGAGTTAACAAACATATTTATTTAATGAAGAATTATGCAGGCAATGAAATACTTGTTCTCGGTATTTTGATGGGCACATTCTGTGGATTCCATGTAGGCACTGACTCTGAAGAACAGAAAGCACCTTCCTAAAATGGCATTTTAAAAAATCCAGAGGCTCTTTTCCTTCCAAAGATGACCTCGATCTGGCCCGAGGACAGCAAATACTGTGAAAGACCTAGAGCAGCGGTCGCCAACCGGTGGTCCGTGAGGTCCGAAAGGTTGGCGACCGCTGCCCTAGAGCAGGGGTGGGCAAACTTTTTGACTCGAGGGCCACAATGGGTTCTTAAACTGGACCGGAGGGCTGGAACAAAAGCATGGATGGAGTGTTTGTGTGAACTAATATAAATTCAAAGTAAACATCATTACATAAAAGGGCACGGTCTTTTTTTTTTTTTAGTTTTATTCATTTCAAACTGGCCGGATCCGGCCCGCGGGCCGTAGTTTGCCCACGGCTGCCCTAGAGATACCTTAGAAAAAAGACCCCTGCCCTACCGGTTTGGCTCAGTGGATAGAGCGTCAGCCTGCAGACTCAAGGGTCCCAGGTTCGATTCCGGTCAAGGGCATGTACCTTGGTTGCGGGCACATCCCCAGTAGGGAGTGTGCAGGAGGCAGCTGATCGATGTCTCTCTCTCTCATCGATGTTTCTAACTCTCTATCCCTTTCCCTTCCTCTCTGTAAAAAATCAATAAAATATATATTTAAAAAAAGAAAAAGAAAAAGAACCCCTGCTCTCCAAATCCTCCCAGCTGGGATCAGCCTCAGATTCTATAGCTCAGTCCTTGGACCATTTAACCTAGTCTCTCCATGTGCCTCTGCCTGATGACAGGCACTGACACTGGTCTGAGCGTCTGCCGAGCAGTTACTGTCACAGGTGCTGTTTCAGGTGCCTGGGACATGACGGCCGAGTAAGCAATCACAAGGGAGAGGGTTGACCTACTAATTACCTCCCACCCCACAAGGTAATGGAAAGGTCTCCCTGCAAAGCGCTCTTGCTGAGCAGAAGTCACCAGGCAAATAGAGGCCAGAGCACAGGGGGTTACAAAGTCCAAGGGCATTTCTTCCGAGATGGGAAGGGTTTATGTTCCCCTTACCACACCAGGGTTCTTCTGTCTGAAATCAGATGGCTAGTAATGATTAACTAATAAATACTTAAACAGTGGTTCACTAATGATGATCTCTTAACCTGGGCATTTTACCCTCAATCTCCACCCCCACGCCCCTCGAATCAGATTCTTCCTGAGAGCTACAGGGGAACTTGTATTAGGGCCCCGGGTGTGGTTGGGCGGGACACTCACTGTGCAGGGCTCTGGGAGGAAGGGCTGAGTGGTGTCTGCTCATGGGCTGTGTGTGCGCGGCTGCAGCCACCCGGGGAAGGGGTTCCCTGACTCCTTCCTGTGAAGCAGCCATGTGGGTAACTTCCATTGACTGTTTAAGCTGCTGGACACAGTTCCAAATGTCTTCTGTGTAGTCACTCAGACTGACTAACCTTCCTGTGCGGTTTGGCAGGACGGTGGTTATCATTGTCATTACCCCCAATACTCACTGAGGTGACATTGGTTAATAAAATCATGTAGGTCTCGGGTGTACAATTCTACAGCACATCATCTGTGTAGTGTACTGTGTGTTCACCACCCTAAGTCAGTATGTTTACTAAACATTTAAATGACACAGGTAGTTGTGTTTTATTTCCGTTGGGACAGCCCTGGTCTAAGTGGGAGCCTCCCTTTCCACTCTGAGGATTTGCCTCCAGGGGCACGTGTAAGTCACTGTTGCCTTATTGAAGCACATTATACTAACACCGAGTGCTAGCAAGTTGGAGATGCCAGTATTCACACACCAGTGGTCTGACTCCAGAGCCTGCACCCTTCACAACTCTGTTCTCTTCTCCCTCAAGCAGCTTCTTTGCCTTCAGGTCCTCTCCCGTTTCTCTCTGACCTTTATCCCAAGCTCTCAAGCCCTCACGTCTCTTCCCGTGAGCCCTTAAACTCCCATCTGCTTATTTTTATCTTTAGGAGCAACCAAGAGGCAAGATCTAGAAAACTGGCTCTGATGTGAGATCTGGATTCAGGGCCCACCGGCCTCTTGACCGCACTGCGCCTCAGCTTCCTTATCTGTGAAATGAGAACAGCGGTCGTCGTCACTGACTGAGAACTTCCTACAGTGCCAGGTGCTCTGCCAGGGGCATTGCATGGATTAGCTCATCCATTCCCCACAACAATCCTGTGCCTAACGTTCCGTTCTCTCCTTACAGCTGAGAATAGGCACAGAGGGGTCCGCAATTGGAGCAAGGTCACACAACTGGTGCAGCAGTAGGTTCTTCACAGGTACCTTGATGAAACAGTGCATGCTGGATGCTTCTCAAGGTCCCTACCATGTCCTTGGTGCTTATTTCATGTTAAATATTGCCATTTTTTTTGTTTGTTTTTATCATTACTCTGATCACCGTAGCTTGTTCATTTAAATGACATATTGATCACCAGGCTTATTGTTAAATAAATCACAGGTTTTTCATTTCTCTTCACCTCCATGATAGTTTTTTTTAAGACCCTGCTGTTAACAAAGTAAATTTGGAAAGGACTTAATAGCTTATTTTTTTTTTAATCCTCACCCAAGGATGTTGTTGTTTTTAGGTTTTTTATTTTCAGGGTGTTTTTATTATTATTATTATTATTATTATTATTATTATTATTATTTTAGAGAGAGGGAGAGAGAAAGAGAGAAACATTGATGTGAGAGAGAAACATTGATCCTTTGACTCCGTATGTGCCATGACCTGGGATCAAACTCACAACCTTTTGGTGTACAGGACAGCACTCCAGCCAACTGAGCCACACCTGCCAGGGCAGGACTTATTCGCTTTAAAAAAAAACAGTCATCTGTATAGTCAGATCCATAGAGAAAGAATAGTGTTTGGCAGGGGCTGAGGGAATGAGGGGTAGAGAGTTATTGTTTAATGGGTACAGAGTTTCAGTTTGGGATGGTGAACAATTCTTGCAGATGGATGGTGGTGGATGGAAAGCACTTAATGAACTATATATTCAAAATGGTTAAATAGGCAATTTTCTTTTTTTTTTTAAAATATTTTATTGATTTTTACCGAGAG